GCTCTGATCTGAGGTTGACCTCACAACATTGACATTGACACAGAACAAACAAATCCTCCCGAAGAAGTTTCAGGAGGGTGTGTGCAGAAGGGACATGGAAATTCCATCACAACGTGTGATCTCCCCCTTCCAGTGACTTAACCTCCTTATTTGTATTTGTTTGTCCCTGAATTAGATGTTTACTAAGAGTGGGCTCTGTGGGATGCTGCCCCAGGGCGGGGTGGTGCAAATGCCTAGGACCCAGCTGCTCCCGTGTAGGGGGCTCACGGTTGAACGTGAGACAGGAACAAACATAAGAGCTACACTGAACTGCAGGATTACTGAAGGCCACAGGAACCAAGGGGGGCAGGAGGGCGAATGAGGTGCTCAGGCGAGAAGATGTCACTCATCTTGAAATGGGAGTGGGAGTCCCCCAGGTGCAGGCCAGAGGCAAGGTCATTCAAGGCCCGGGAACAGCACTTGGAAAATCCGAGGGGGGAGCTGAGCACATTCGGGAGGCTGGGCCAGATGCATGTGGAGGAGGGGCTGCCTGGTGGGTGTGGAAGGGAGGCGAGCGGCAGGCCCTGCAGAGGCAGGTGTGCCAGGCGGAGTGTCAGCAGGCAGGGAGGTTCATGTGCTGTCGAGCGTGCTCTAGAAAAATCCAGAGGGAGCATGGCACCTAGCAGGAGAGGCGGAGCCAGCGGGGCCTGGCTTGGCTTCCGGGGTCGGGGAATGATAGTTCTGAAGTCCACACAGGGCCAGGTGCTGTGCTGTGCTTCGTGTCCTGCCCCTTTGCCACCCTGAGGCCTGCAAGGAGGCCGTCCACCTGACTCCACAGTGAAGGAGGGGTTAGAGCAGACTTGGGAGGTGGGCGGGTGCCTTCTGGCCTCTCCCCTGGGCCCCTCTGCCCTCCGGCCTTCACTTCCACCTGCGTCATCAACACACAACGCTTCGGAAACACGACTTTGAGGAAGAGGGTCGGCCGTCTTGTTTACTTCATAACCGCAAAGCCTTTTTGTGTTTAGATACATGAATACCAATTAGAAGGGCCACTCCGATGCGCGCTGCATTCCCCCCTCATCCATTGCCTTCCGCCCTGACGGCTGGCCCACTTACAGCCCCATGAAGTACCTTCAGGTGCAAGAGCATCACAGAAGCTGAACGGGTACTGTCACGTGTCCTCCTCACAAAATGAGACGGGGCAGCTTCTTATCACAGAGGATCGCAGGACCCATCCTTGCTGTTGAATGATTAGCTGATGAGAATTTTTGCCCTTAGAAAGGTATCACGTGTTCATCGGGAGCTTGGGCTTCTGTGCTGGGTGTGCCTCGCCCTGGCAGCCTGAGCCGTCCTCCGTCTGTGCCATCATCTTCTGATTGGGAAGCTTCCTGCTCACTCTCGTCCCTTAGCCAGTTAAGCATGAAGTGAGGCCTCTGAATTTTTCAGTGTTCACTGCAATCTACTAAGACACTGTGTGGATGCTGTTACTGTTTTCTGGAAAGAGACTGTAAAACACTACAGCCAGAGAACCGAAGGGTCACGAGCTGGTGGTGGCCTGCCTTGGTATACTCTCTCCTGCAGGCAATTCCATCATTTTTTGTTCCTTCTTATCACGATCTCTTTTTCTTAGTTTGGAACAATCGAGCCATGATCACAGACTTTCAGGATAATGAAATAGATAAGTAAGATCAAAACCAACATTGCTAAAACCCTACGATGTACAACAGACATGTAGGCGGGTCCCGACCCTCACAGTCACTGCAGGAGGGAATGACCTTTGTTTTATAAAGAAAATAATTTCAAACATTTTTATTCTTTGGATGACCTCTAGGAAGAAGAGCAGTCGTAATAGTGCAGTCCTGGCTTCGGCGTCACACTACTGGAAGAATTCCCCTCACCTCGTTTCTGGCTTCTAGAGAAGTAGTATTGTTTTTTCCCTAAACATTTTCTAGAATTCACAAATAAAGTCATCAAGTCCTGAAGTGACCTTTGTTGGGAAGTTTTCAACTATAAGTCAGTTATTTAGTAGCCACAGAGTCATTCATATTTCTTCCTGAGTGAGCCTTGGTAATTAGTCCTTCAAGATGTTGGTCCAGTTCATCGAAGTCGACAAACGAAGGGCAATAAATGCTTCATAGTAATTCCTTATTATTGCTTTAAACTCTGTGGAGTGTTCAGGAAGAGTCCTGCTTTCATTACTGATACTGATAGGTGGCATCTTCTCATTTTTCTATCATTTTAGCTAAGATTCATCAATCTTATTGATCTTTTAAAAGAACCAGTTACTCATTTCATTGAGCCTGCTCCATTGCTTTCCGGCTCTCAGTTTCACTGGTTTGTGGTCTTATCTTTATTAGCTCCTTCTTTCTGCTTGTTGTGAATATAGTTTTATCTTCTTTTTGTTTTCTAAAGTTGGAAACTCAGATTTTTTAGTCCATTCTTTTCTCATATAAGCTCCTAATGCCACAAGTTTCTTTGTGGGCACCGATTCAGCTGCATTTCCCGAATCTGGATGTGCTAGAGTTGTTGTCTTCCTTCACTTCAAAATACTTTCTCATTTCCTTGAGGCATGCTTTTGTGTCCATGGATTATTTAGAATTACGTTGTTTAATTTAAAACATTAGCACAGTTTCCGAATACTTCTCTGTTGTTAATTTCTAGTTTCATTCAGTTATTGATAAGGAATAGGCTTTGGGTGACTTCAGTCCTTTTACAAGTTTGTTTTAGGACCCTGATGTGCTCCAGCTGGAGAATGCACAAGGTGTCCTCTGTTGAGTTGGGCGGAGTGTTCTGGAAGCATCAATCAAGTTGGCTGCTAGCATTGTCTGGGTCCTCTGAATTCTTGCTGGCTTTCTGTCTGCTTCTTCAATCAATGACTAAGAGAGGACAATGACAATAACTGGAGTTTTCTGTTTCTTCTTCTAGTCCTATCAATTTTTGCTTTCTGTGCTCTGGCCCTCTGAGGAGAGACGGTGTGCTGTGGTCAGCAGACCTTAGCACCTGTGCCGCTCCTCCTCTGTTTCTAAGGCTCCGGGTCCTCTCTGTACCTTCTCCTTCCCCTGGGGAGCACCCTTCAGCACGTCTCTTAGGACAGGGCTGCTGCAGACAAGTCGTCTCAGGTGCCTTCCCGGGAGTACCTTTATTCTCTTTCATTCCTAGAAGGTATTTTTGCAGGATATATGGGGGTTGTCAGTTCTGGCATTTAAAAAGTGTTGTCCACGGTCCTCTGGCCTCCTCGCCAGCTGTGGTGAGCAGTCCCGTGAACAGTGGTGGCTTTCAGCCCTGTGAGCATGCTGCGTTTAAGCATGGAGTCGCCGAGACGAATGAAATGTGCGTGTTATTGACTATGCATACTTGAGTCTTTTGCCAAATTTGGGGAGTACTCATACCTGTACGCACCATCTCTTCCTGTCTCCTTTGGGTACCTTACCATGGGGCTTGGACCTCTTTCTCGTGTGGTGCTGGCTTCTGGCTGCCTGTGTGCGTTCCCTGCCCTGCCCCTGTGGTCCAGGTGGGATCATCTCTGGTCCCCTCTCCTCAGCCGCTTCCCACGACTGGGCCCACCCTCAGGGTAACGTGGTAAGAGAGAAAGAGAGGCGGAAAATGACACAGACCTCCCCGACTCTCCTTGACCCCCACCCCTCTGGTGGGACCGAAGAACCCAGAGTCTTCAGAACCTCCGGGGCCAGCGTGGCTGCGAACCCCACCATGGAAGCACAGTGTCCTGACGGGGCTCCCTCTAGACCAGGACCAGGATGGTTGAAGAGAGTAATGGGGCCACACAGCTTTTGTGCTGCAGGCCCCCTTCCTGGCTCTGGGTCAGAAAGTCAGACGTGGTCTTGCATCTTTTCCCTCCACGACCTCGCACAGTTGCAGCGTTTGGGCTGCTCTTTTACCTGAGCTGGGATCGTGGCAAGTCGGACTCCCAGGAAACTCACGTCTGACGTCCTTCAGTTTAGATTTCCTCCTCCATCAGCCCTCAGGTCCCATGTTGTGCTCTGGGCAGGGTTTTCTGTTGTCGGGGAGGGAGGGGAAGGTGACGGGTACCTACTCCGTCTTCCCTGGAAGCAGAGCTCACCCCAGGACTCTGGCATGGCCTGGGTGTCACACAGGCATGACGTCTCAGAGAGCAGCCCCCGCCCTCTTGCTGAAGAGCGCCCTGCCCTCCTGAGGTGCTCGGGTGGGGTCTGAGGTCATTTTTGCTGCTTATTTCAGCATGTCTGTCCCCAATGGTGGCTGTCACAGCGGTAGCTCCTGAGGACTTGGACTGTCCTTGTGCTGGTCACCAAGCCGCAGGCCCGAGTGCCCGGCGAGTGAGTGCCCATGCGTACTGTGGCTGAAGGGCTGGTGGTCAGGAGGCCTAATGAGCCAGGAGAAAGGAGCAGGCCACGGCGGGAAGAGGCCCCCCAGCCCCGCTCCCTCTCGAGGGGCACCGGCGCCCAGTGAGAACCAGGAGGAATGGTGGAAAACCCAGGGGCTCCTGGCTTGAGCCAGGCCACTCAGGACCAGCGGAGCCCTGTGGCCCGGGAGCTGCGGGGCCCTTGGCCAGGTGCTTGGTGGGTGAGAGGTGGGAGGCCCTGGCTTGCCCAGGCAGCGGTGCCCTGGGGGTTCGAGACAGCCCCCTGGGGAGGTCAGGTGGGCACCTGGGCGCAGCAGGCCCTGGGGGATGGAGAGGTGAAGGCAGGACCTCACTGGGACTTCAAGATCCTGTCAGCAAAAGGGTGACAAGGCCCCGCGACCTTCCCCAGCTCTGGGGGTGAAGCAGGGGTGGGGGCTGCGGTGGAGTTTGGATCCTTTCCCACCCTCGAAATTCCGTGCCTGTGGGGTCCGGTAGGCAGTTGGAGAGATGGCGCAGAAAAGCAGGTGAGGCCCAGCATTGTGGGGGCAGCACGGCGGTCAGGGGCCTCCGGAGGGAGCCAAAGGGAGGCCACGGGGCGGGAGCCAGCCGGAGCCCAGTGCAGACCCAGGTGCGCTCCCAGATTGGCTTTAGAGGGAGGACTGCTCAGGACACCCAGGTTCCTCAGCCACCGTCTCCACAGTGTCCCCGCCACCCATCCAGGCAGGCCCGGGGCCAGGTGACTGCAGCCAGCATCATTGTGTGAGTACAGGGGCAGGGTTTGGATGGCGCTGAGTCAGCTGAGGCCGGAGCCCAGGCCGCCATCCGGGTCGGGCCCCTCTGTCCGCTTAGACGGCGTTCTCCCTCCAACTTGCAAATCCCAGAAAAAAACAACAAAAAACAAGAAAAGGTTTCTGCTATTTTCCTCCTAAGACACTTAATGTTGTGTGATGCTCCCTCCTTCCCCGAGAAGAAATGAGCCCTGTTTGTTTTGTGCTCTGGGAAGAGGAAGAAAAAAAAAGTTGAATAGCATTTATCTGAAAATAAACAAGGACTTAGAAAATTTAAGAAGACTTCCCTACCATGCAGCTGGGGAAATGCGACTGTATTTTAAGAATTAAGTTAGACCAGATGTGAAATAACAGACTTTAATGGTGTCTTTGAAGCAGATAGGGGGTAGGAGAACCCCTCAGGAGATTCATGAGCCCATTAAATTTAAACACAGTTATTTATTATTTTTTTTTTCTTTCAAGAACCAAACAGAAAGTTGCGGATTCTGAACTAGCCTGCGAACAGGCTCATCAGTATCTTGTTATCAAAGCGAAAAACAGATGGGCAGATTTGTCTAAGGTAAGAAGACGGTTGTTCCCTTAAAAGGAAGAAAATGGATCCCAGTGTCAGGGCTGCTGGGAGCCAGGCTGTTTGGAGTCAGCCACTGAGACAGACGGGGACAGCTTCGGGCCGATTGTTGGCTCTTGTGTTCTTTGTTACCATTATTAATTAACACGCATTAGTGGTGCCCGTTAACGGGTTCTGCAGGGACATTTCCGCACAGGCAGGTACAGGGCCTTGGTCAGCCGTCCTCCCTGCCCTCCCTTCACCTGCCCCTGTCTCCACCCTCCCACCAGCCCCAGTCAGAGTCCCAAGTCGTCCCTTTTTGACTTTGAGGTCATCTTTGTGTTTTGCTCATTGTGGGTTTAATTTTTATTTATCTTTATCCTCACACGGGAGTGAAAACAAGCAGTACTTGTATTTCTGCATGTGTTTTGCTTTACCTGATATCCCCTGGTTCCATTCCTTTTCCTGTAAATGTTACGATTTCCTTCTTCTTAATGGCTGAATCGTACTGCACTGTGTACATAAAGCGTATTTTTATCCATATCTGTTGATGGCACCTGGGCTGACTCCACTCCACGGCTCCTGTGAACGGTGCTGCAGTAGATGTGGAAATGCACGCACCATTTTGAAGGCTGACTTCATTTCCTTTGGCTGTAGACCCAGGGAAGTTTAAGGAAATGCCACACTGTTTTCCGTAGTGGTTGTACTAATTTACGTTCCCACCACCAGTGCAAAAGGATTCTTCCTCCACATCCAGCATCCAGCATCCCCTAGTTTTGGTTTGTTTGTTTGTTTGTTTGTTTGTAATGGCCATCCTAACTGTGGTGAGATGGAATCTCTGTGTAGTTTTGATTTGCATTTCCCTGATAGCTAAAGATATTGAGAATATTTTTTTTATTTATTATTCACTTGTGTGTCTTTTGAGAAGAATCTACTCAGGACATTTTCCTATTTTTTCACTGGATTATTTTTATTTTTGTTAAGTTTTGGAGGTTTTTGTTGGTGTTGGTTTTGGTTATTTTGTTTTTGGTACTGAGGATTAAATCCAGGAGCACTTACCCACTGAGCCACATCCCCAGCCCTTTTTATATATTTTTTAGAGACAGACTCTCGCTGAGTTGCTTAGGGCCTCACTAAGTTGCTGAAGCTGGCTTTGAACTCACCATCCTCCTGCGTCAGCCTCCCAATTCACTGGGATTACAGGTGTGTGCACCACGCCCGCCTGATTTTTGGGTTCTTTATATATTCTGGATATTACTTCTCTGTCAGATCTTCCCTGGTCTACAGGCTCTCTCTTCACTCTGCTGACTGTCTCCTTTGCTGTGCAGAAGATTTTATATCAGATGTCAGCCCATTTCTCAATTCCTGCTTTTGCTTCTTGAGCTATCGAAGTCCCATCCAGGAAACCACTGCCTATACTGAGATCTTGAAGTGTCCTGTGTTTTCTTCTAGTAGTTTCAGATTTCTGCATCTTATATTAAGGTGTTTGATCCACGGTGAGAGGGCGAGTTTCAGTCTTTCCCACGAGGATATCCAGTTTTCCCAGCACCATTTGCTGAAGAGGCTGTTCTTTATCCAGTGTAGGTTCGGGCACCTTTGTCAAGAATCATTGACTGAGGATGCATG